TAAGGGCCTATGAGTTTGGAGTCCCGATCCGGAGGTCGTTCAGATGTTGAATTGTCGACGCCAATCCCCGAGTGTTTGGGACGTTTTTGACGGAGGAATCATTTTTGCGAAAATGCTAAGTTTCTTTTGGAGTGTGAGATGCTTTGACAAAAGGTATTCTTCGATTATTTGGTACAAGTATACATGCTTCCGCCGTCGGGGTCCCGGCTATACAGACACGGTTCGTTCGACCGTTTGGCCCGATACATCATTTTCCTATTGGAACCCCGGGGGTATGCCCCCTAGTGTTCGGGGTTGATTGCAAAAGAAGCCTCGAATACTTGTTGAGTCTTCCTTAGGTAGCATGTGGATGTTGCCTCGTTAAAAACCTTGCCGGTAAAACCCTTTTCGGGATAAAAACTCGACCGATGGAAAAGATAGCAACGGATGCTTTAAAACCTTAAGGTCTTCGAGTTGGGTTAGCGTTTTGACTGCTTCGGTGAAGCGCCTGCACAAGGGTTAGTTTGAAATATAAAATGAAAAGGGAGATGGTTATACCTTAGTGTGGGATGTGCCGGCGATGTTTCGAGGTCCGATATGTCCCCCTCGCTTGTGATGAGGACGTGGTACGGTCCTCTGCTTTCTTTAATCGGGCTTAACCGAAGATGTAGTTTGATTACCCTTTGGCTCTTTCGCGAGTGGAGGCATTGGTGTTGGTGCCACATCGTGCACTGCGAACATTTCCCTCGCCGCATGTTGTTCCCCGTAGACGGTTTTAATCCCATCCTTTGTCGGGAATTTCATCATTTGGTGGAGGGTGGATGGAACTGCTCTCATGCAATGTACCCACGGCCTCCCGAACAAGGCGTTGTACCTCATGTCTCCTTCGATGACATGAAATTCGACATTTTGGGTAGTGTCGGCCACGTTGACTAGGAGGATGATTTCTCCTTTCGTCGTTTCACCTGCCATGTTGAATCCGTTGAGGACTCGAGTGGCGGGCACGATTTTGTCAAGCAGTCCGAGCTGCTTTATTACCCTCGACCTGATAATGTTGGCCGAGCTACCTTGTCTCAACATTATCAGGTCATTGTGAGGTTGAGACAAGGTTTCAGTGTCCTCTTCGCTGAATGTGAGGGCATCCTCGGGTATGTACCCCCGGGTTCGCTTTTCTCTGGTGATGGATATTTTTGTCCTTCTCATCACGGGTTCCTGTGGGGCATCGACGCCTCCCAAGATCATGTGGATGACATGTTGCGGCTCATTCGTTTCGGCCTTCTTGGCCACCTCTCTTTCTCGGAACTGTTTTTTGGCCCGATCGCTTAGGAATTCCCAGAGATGACCTTTGTTGAGTAACCTGGCTACTTTTTTTCGAAACTGGTGGCAATCCTCGGTCATGTGGCCATGTGTGTTGTGAAATTCACACATTAAGTTATGATTCCTTTGCGAAGGGTCTGATTGCATAGGCCTGGGCCACTTGGCGTCTATGATTTTGCTGATGGCAAAAACGATGTCCGATATATCGACGTTGAAGTTGTATTCTGACAAGCGAGGTGCCTCTGTTGGTCCTGCGTTCCTATCAAACTCGGCTCTGTTGACGAGTCCCCGAGGATTCTGTCCTCGGTCTATCCTTCGATCGTTTCAAGGTGGGTTGCGCCTTGGGGCGTTTCTCCGGTCTTCGATGTACGGCTGATATCTTTCTTTATTTGGTTTTGGCTCCTTTGCCAGAAGCCTGCTTGGGTATACCGAGCCCGAGGGGACCCCCAGTTGGTCGTCCTTGACCCTGATTTTCGACTGGTATCGGTTATGAACATCCGACCAAGTCACGGCCGAGTACTCGACTAGGTTCTGCTTCAGCTGTTTCGAAGCTACCGAGCTTCGTTCATTCAGACCTTGAGTGAAGGCCTGAACCGCCCAGTCGTCGGAGACTGGTGGTAGTTCCATTCGTTCAATCTGAAAGAGAGATACGAACTCTCGCAGCATCTCATTATCCCTCTGCTTAATCTTAAAGACGTCGGATTTCCTTGTTGCTACTTTGATGGAACCAGCATGTGCCCTAATGAAAGAATCCGCCAACATGGCAAATGAATCTATCGAGTTTGGGTCCAGGTTGTGATACCACATCATTGCCCCTTTAGAGAGCGTTTCCCTGAACTTTTTTAGCAGGACGGACTCGATCTCGTCGTCCCTTAGGTCGTTGCCCTTTACTGCACAAGTGTAGGCGGTGACGTGCTCGTTAGGGTCCAACGTTCCGTTATAATTTGGAAGGTCGGGCATTCTGAACTTTTTTGGAATGGGCTCCGGAGCCGCCTCCTACGGGAACGGCTTTTGCACGAACTTCTTCTAATCCACGCCTTTCAGGATCGGGGGTGCTCCCGGAATCTGATCGACCCTGGAGTTATAGGTCTCGCCATTTTTGTCGTTGGCCTCAATCTTCTTCTCACCCGATTTAATCCTCCTCGTGAGGTCCTCGAGCAGCTTTACAATGACAGGATCGGCTATCGACCCGTTATTGCTCGATCTCTCCGGTACCTGTTCGGCCGGGGGAGCTGTCCCCGGTGCTATTGTGCTAGGAGTTTTCTGGTGACTTTGCAGCTGAGCAATAGCCAGTTGTTGTGCCTGCAGCATTTCAAAAATATCATGAAGGCTAACCTCCCGTTCTTCCCTAGCTGAGGTTTTCTGGGCTTCTTGTTGGTCGCCTTGGTGTATGCTCTTGTTAGTGTGGCAGCTTATTTCGACGTGTTGAGCGTCGCATGAGACTTCATCTATCGGAATTGGTCCTGGTGCGTTCTCAAGGTTTCGTGCTGGCTCACCAACACCTGGAACAGCCACACCATTCTCTTCGTGGTTCTCAAGATTGTTGTTTACTGAATCAGACATTTCGACCTGAAATCAAAGATCTTTGGACAAGAAAAAGCATGAAAGATAACTTGCGTTGTGTAATAGAACCAGCAAGAAAATAATCACTATTATTTTTAGCCCCACGGTGGGCGCCAAACTGTTTACCGTGAAAATGGTAATAACAATTAAATTTGATTATAGGACTCTAAAAATACGTGATCTATTTTTATGCTAGTTGTTAAGCAGTTGATGCTATGTGTGTGAGGCTTAGAAACGAAATAAGAGGTAAGGATAGGGTGATAATCAAACCGATAGGTTAACAATCGGGGCCTCGAGCTTGTCGATTCAGGGGCCTCGAGGTTGATTCCAGAGCTCGGCTCTGAGCTATCGAGGGTGATTGCAGTATGACTAACAGTTATAATAAAATTAATAAAGGCTCTTTATGGCCAATGATAAGCAATAAATGATGAAGAATAATGAAGATGATAAAGGGAAGCAACAATATCAAGAAAATATATTAGAGAGCAGAGAGAATGTTCTTGCATATTTCGTGTGGAGCGACTGAAGCAACAGAGGTTTACAAAATGATCAGGATTCCCTTTATATAGGAGGGCAATCCCAACGTAGTACAAAGTGCATTAACTACATAGATATGGAGATGGGACAGCTGAATGACGCCATGATTTGGGTTCAGAATAGCCCACTAGACTTTGTCAGCCCTAGCCATGTTCCTTGGGAACTCCCCGTTTCCACCATAGCCGTGGTCAATGTTGTCCCAAGGTCGAGTGTCGACGAGCCTCGAGGGAGGAATACTCGGCCGTGGCCTCGAGCCTTCGAGGTGATCTTCCGAAGTGCCTTAATGACGAGAGATTGGACCCTCCGATTTCACCGTATACAAAAATACTAGGAAGCAAAAACCAAGTCATTCTTGGAAAGTAATTCCAAAAATCTTAGTAAAAGGAAAACATAACCTTAACTAACTAGGAAAGCAATAAATATAGTACCAAAATATATGAAAATAAGTCTCAAACCAATCTTGGATAGAATCTTGAATATCTTGAAGGAAATTTGCAAGCAACTTGGCACCAACTTGCACTCAACATCTACCACGACTATTGTACCTTTCTTGGACATCAAGTAATCCCTTTTATGTTATAAAAATACGACTTTATGTAGGACTTCATGGGTTGCAAGTTCGGACACATTTTAGGTGCCAAATTGGTCCAAAAGTGGACTGATTAGGACCTTCTTCAAAGGATGTCCCTTGGGATCCAATTCCTCTTCTTGGACATAAATTTGAGCCATAAAACAACTGTAACACCTAGCTAATTCACAACCTTTATCCTTAAGCTCTTCTTCCTCCTAATTAACAACTTCTTTATTTGCACTTGAAGTCTAATGACCTTGTTTTGCAACTCTTTAGCTTGACATCTTGTTAAAGGCTCTCATTGAGATTCCAAAGCTTCATCCTTGTCCTTGAATAAAGTTGAGCTTCCTAGGATGCTATCAGCTGGTAGGTAGACGGTAGTTTGGTGGAGGAAAATAAGGTACCTTTGGTGAACGTGGTCGCTTTGGTAAGTTTTGTGATATTTGATAGGGTTGGTTATGTTGCAAATTTTCCCTTTGAAGCATTTGTCGCACTTGTGAAGGAGAGGGTATAGTAGAGGAATTAGTAAGCATCATACTACGCTCCTTTCCTTGTTGCCTCAAGTGAGATTCCTCTATCATGGAATTCAACCTTGCATCCGTTTGGTGTTGCCATATGGTAATATTGGTAACTGATAACAACCGATAGGGGATTCAAGAATTACTAAAGAAAAAACAAGAATATCAAGAAACGTGCGGAAGCTAAAAGAAAATAAAGAAACAAAAAAAGACGAAAAATTAAAGATAGATTAAATTAAAAAAAGAATTTCTTGAATTCAATCTATTCTTGAAGTTGAATCCTAACAACAACAATTAGCTAACAAAGAACTAATCGTCTTTGGTAGAGAATTAAAAACAAGAGATAGATTGTGAAACCCGACCCTTTAGAATAACAAGAACAACAATAAGTCTAAACTTATCACCTTTCTTAAATACCTAGAAGTGATCTAACATTTCGGAAGAGTTCAATCTTACCACATTAAGTTGAGTCTTGAAGGTTGAAGAATAAATCCAAGAGTAGCCACACACAAGAGTGCAAGAAAAATCTCACAACTTTTATTGATACTAGTCTGAATAATCTAAGTCTAAAAACAAAGAAGACACCCCTTATATTGGTAGGAGGGGGTCACGAAATTAAGGTTAAAAAATAAGGAAATAAAGTCCTAAACTACTTTGGACAACAAGTCCAACTACCTTAGGAAAAGGAAAATACTAGGAAGCAAAAATCAAGTCATTCTTGGAAAGTAATTCCAAAAATCTTAGAAAAGGAAAACATAACCTTAACTAACTAGGAAAGCAATAAATATAGTCCCATAATATATGGAAATAAGTCCTGAACCAATCTTGGATAGAATCTTGAAAATCTTGGAAATCTTAAAGGAAATTTGCAAGCAACTTGGCACCAACTTGCACTCAACATCTAGCACGAATATTGTACCATTCTTGGACATCAAGTAAGTCCTTTTTATGCTATAAAAACGTGGCTTTATGTAGGACTTCATGGGCTGCAAGTTTGGATACATTTAAGGTGCTAAATTGGTCCAATAGTGGCCTGATTTGGACCTTCTTTAGAGGATGTTTCTTAGGATCTAATCCACCTCTTTTTGGACATGAATTTGGGCCATAAAATAATTACAGCACCTAGATAACTCATATCCTTTATCCTTAAGCACTTCCTCCCAACTAACAATTTCTTTGATCGTTCCTAAAGTCCAATGACCTTGTTTTGCAACTTTTTAGCTTGAGATTTTGTTAAAGGCCCTCTTTGAGATTCCAAAGCTTCATCCTTGTCCTTGAATAGATTTGAGCTTCCTAGGATGCTATCAGTAACCTTCTCACTTAAGTTGGCAACCTTCTCGCTTATGTCATAAAGCATAGAAACAACTTCATGCATCGGAGTCTCACTCCTTGGATCACAAGTAGGACTAGAAGTTTGTCCGTACTCTATGATACCTACAAAACGAGCAAACAAGTTAGCAGTAAATGTCCTCACCAACTCACTTCGCTCAACCCTCGTGTAAAACACTTTACACCAATTGCCTCTTGCGTGCTCAACGTCCTATTCACTCCTGGCTTTTTTCCACTCAAGTAGTGAATGTCAAAATTGCTAGCAAACTTATGTCCCAAGGTTTCACAACAAGTTCCAACCGTCTTTGGGGTGGAGTGGAAGTTGTGCATTAGCAAGGACAGACAATTAAAAGCAAACGGACTTGAACCAAGCAATTCACACAGAAGTAAAAGATAAAAGCACGAAACAATTGGCACGAAATAAAATTAAGCACACAAGAACTAGAATTAAACTTAATATGAACTATTATCAAGTTAATCTAGCTTAGAGTTAACAAACAAGAAGAAGCAAGATTAATAGTTGGACAGACAACTTTGATAGAAAACTGGACACAAACTACTGACCTGCTGATATTCCCAACCTTTCACCCTAACCACCTGGCCCAACTAACTGTTAATGAAACACCAATTACTCCCAGAACTGCAGCTAAGGTAACTATGTTGAGTTACTCCCAGAACTGCAGCTATTGCAGTCAAGACTGCAGCACCTTAAGTGGACTGGCAGCTCCAAACAAGGTAGATTCTATGCTGCAGAGAACTTCTGCAAATTCACAACAACTTCAAAGATTGTTCAGAACTTCCCCAGCTACTAGAGGGCAAAAGAACAGTCTGTTTTCAGCTCAGTTTTCAGACTAAAGAACCTCAAAAACAACTGGCCATACTTCAGCTTCTAGAATCTCGAAACAGCAGCTCAAATGATGGTCCCAACTGATAGTTGCTAGTGGAGAATTCTTGCAAAACTACTGCAGAATCAGCTGTGAAATGTTGATTTAACAGCTGAAACTGGGCAGAGAATCAACTCAAAACAGTGTGGAAAATGCAGACAAGCTACTGCTAAAAATTTGTAGCTTCAAGCAGTGGCAAAATGCTGTCAAATACAGCTCAATTGAGTCCCTTTTTCAGTAGCAAAGCAGTTTACCAAACAGTGCAGATAACAGCAGTTGTAGAAACTCACCCCAAACAGTGTTGAACTTGATCAGGTCTGCAGCTTCTTTCAAGATCAATCAGCAGCTCTCACTGTCGAATTTTAACAGCAGACTGTACAGCTGACTGCATCTCAACAATTTAGGTTCAAAACTGGTGTTAGTTGCTGCAGCAGGAACTGAGTAAAGAGGTGCAGAATACTGGACTGAGATTGCAGCTCAAAACTAATCAAACACAGCTGATGTTTGCAGCTGAACCTTGGCTAACATTTTGGCAGCAAAAATGGTGCAAACACAGTTGTAAAATAAATCCACAAGTCACAAGTTCAACTCAGTATTTTGATAGAAAACTGCACCTTAAAACAGTCCAATCTCAAAGAAATTTATCCCAACTCAGTTCAACACCAACTGAACAAACCAAGTAACAACTCAAACTATAACAGCAAATTCAATTCCATTTGATACTCCATGAAACCAGCAGTTGCAATTTTCAGACAGTGACCTACAACAACTATCAGATTTCAAACCAAAGAACTTGGTAGTTTTCTTCAGGTTCTAAAAGAAACACCACCTCAAATCTCTTTAAGCAGATGCTACCTTTAGTCTATGCTTAATTGACAACCTTCAAGGGGATTACAAGCTCGCAAAGATGATGGCGTTCCAAGTCAGTTTAGAGCTAATAGCAGCAGTTTAACATTTCAGAAACAAATCTGATCAATCTTTCAACCAACAGTAGCTATTCACTCGATTCAATTCAAACTATCAATAACTAGTATTCAATACAGTAGTAGACACTATCAAATTCAACTAAAAACTTGACGACAAGCTCTCGATCAAAATTCAACAGCAACAAGAATGAAAAAATGAATTTGAGTCTTTGATTGAAGCACTCAAGCTCCAAATGAACAGTACCAATCAGTTAATTCAAGCAATAAACTAGGCGAGTTGACTTGAATGATTCAAGCCAATTAACTGAGAGATCGAGTCGACGTTCAGTTGAAACTCAATTCTCTCCAAATTTTTCAGAAATCAGAGATGGGGCTCAGTTTTAAACTCAAGGAATCAAACCTGATTCGTCGCGACGATTCTCAGCAGCTCGAATCAATCGCGAAGTTCTTCAAATTTGCAACTGGTGTTCTTCGGATCCTCGAGCCTCAATAGTGATTTTCTCCCAAAGCTCCATCAAGTGGAATCAATATGGAATTATGAGATCCGTACAAGCAGAGAATCAAACCCCCCAGAAAGTAATCTCAGCAAGCAGACAGGAAATCTAAGCAAGCACAGGTTGTCTTCTTCCGCGAGTCGATATCCTAAATTTTCGTACACAAACAGTTCAAACAAGCTTCAACCGACTCCAAATTTCAGATTCAGCTTCAAAATAGCTTAAGAATCAATCCCCAAAATCCAATTTGTGAAAATAATTCCCAAAATCAGAAGACCCAGTGTCGTCTTCCTCGCCGAAAATATTTTCGAAATCTCAATAAAACCCTAGCAAACCAGTGTTAATCGGTCTCAAATCTTCATATATTACCTCGTATCAGTGTATCCAACTAAAATCTCGAATACCCAGTTGATTTTAAACTCCCAATTTCAGATTTCAAACGAAACCTAGCTTCTTCGTTGACTTGGCCATTTACTTGAAAAAGTAAACCAGAAGTTGACTTATGTGAAAACGATCTCGGAATTTGGTTTTTATGGTTTCGATAATTTCGTTAGGTGACTTGGGACTTAGGAGCGTGATCGAAATGTATTTTGGATGTCTGTGGTAGATTTAGGCTTGAATTGGCGAAATTGGAATTTTGGCACTTTTCGGTTGGTAGTGGAAATTTTGATATCGGAGTCGGAATGGAATTTCGGAAATTGGAGTAGGTCCATTGTGTTAGTTGTGACGCGTTTGCGAAATTTCAGGTCATTCGGACGAGGTTTGATAGACTTTTTGATCGGATTCGGAATTCGGAAGTTTTGGAATCCTTAGGCTTGAATCCGAGGGTGATTTGATGTTTTGATGTTTTTTTGAGCGTTCCGAAGGTTGGAACAAGTTTGAATTATGTTATTGGATGCGTTGGCATGTTTGGTTGAGATCCCGAGGGCCTCGAGTGAGTTTCGGGTGGTTAACGGATCAAATCCTTGTTTTGGAGAGTTGCAGATTTTCTGGTTTCAGTTGCAGACATTTTTGTTCTTCGCGATCGCATAGAAGTGTCCGTGATCGCGTAGGCTCGGTGGGGCAGAGGTGAGATTTGTTCAACACGGTCGCAGAGGTCGGAAAGCGACCGCGATAGGTTGTGAAGTTGTGGTTCGCGAACGCGTGGCAAGGGTTGTGTTCGCGTAGAAAGGAATGAGCTGGTGTGAAGTGGTGAGGTTTGTTCTATGCGATCGCGTGGGTGAGACCGCGATCGTGTGGGTTAGCAGAGGCAGAGCTTCGCGATCACGTGGTGTTTTACGCGATCGCGTAAGGTCAAATGAGGGCAGTCAGTTTTTGTGCTTCGTGATCGCGAGGCAGTTTCCGCGATCGCGACTAAGGAATTAAATCCCTGGGCAGAATGTTTTAATAGGGGACTTCACGATTTTTGGCCATATTTCACCATTGTTGAGCGATTTTGAAGCTTTTTGGGAGAGATTGAAGAGGGATTCGAAGGGAAACACTTGGAGGTAAGATTATTGAACCTAAAACTCGATTCTATGTTGATTTTCAATTGTTTAAAACATGGAATTTATGGAAATTAGTGGTTAGAATTGGAGGTTTAGGGCTTGAAATTGGAGACTTTTATTTAGGGATTTGAGGGGTTGTTTGTGGTCGGATTTTTATGTTCTTGGTATGTATGAACTCGTGAGAGTATAAGGATTCTAGTTTTGTGATTCTTATTGGAATCCGAGACGTGGGCCCAGGGGTCGGGTTTGGCCAATTTCGGGATTTTTTATGTAGTTTGAATATTTTCGTGTGGGCTTTGTTCCTTTAGCCTATTTTGATGTTATGATTCTGATTTTGGATAGATTCGACGCGAGTTGAGGCCGAGTCGAGAGGCAAGGGCATCGCGGAGTAGGATTTCATCCGGTTTGAGGTAAGTAACAATTGTAAATCTAGACCCGAGGGTATGAAACCCCAAAATTTCGTATTGTTTGATAAATGAGGTAACGCACATGCTAGGTGACGGGCATGTGGGCGTGCACCCGTAGGGATAGTGACTTGGTCCGTCCCGTGATGACTGTATAGTTGCATGTTTTTGAATATACTGTATATGATATCCATGTGTTGAGAAATGAATTTGTTAACTTGGGCTGAACGCCATGTTTGGGGCCTTGTGTCGAACTGTTTAAACCCTTAGGGGTATTTTACTACTTTCCTCACCCTGTTGGATTTGAAAGCATATCCTCAGTCATGTTTTACCTGTTTATTGTTTAATCCGATTTCATCACTCTACTTCTTAATATATAAAAACTGTTTGGGCTGAGTTTTCCTGATTTTCACTGATATGCCCGAGTGGCCGTGAGGTTAATGACTGAGAGAGGTTGAGGACCTAATGGTGGGGATTACATATATATTATGGATCGGGCTGCACGCCGCAACGATATTATACATATATTATGGATCGGGGTGCACGCCGCAGCGATATTTATATGGATCGGGCTGCACGCCGCAACGATATATATTGGATCGGGCTGCGGGCCACAGCGATATAACGCTTGGGTTATAGGAGCCCCTCCAGAGTCTGTACACCCCTAGTGAGCGTAGTCGACTATATATTACGGATCAGGCTGCACGCCGCAGCGGCTATTATTATTATTATGAGAAATCTATTGAGCCGGAGTGCTGAGTGTGAGTACTGATTGACGAGAGTTGAGTCACGAGTGACTGAGAGGCTTGCCCGAGAGGCTATACTTATGAGTGATACCTTGCCCGAGGGGCTTGTTTATGACATTTTTCTGCTTTCATTCTTCTTTTATTCTGAGCCTCTATTGAAAATGTTGAATAAATGTTTTAAAGGATTTTAATTGAAACTGGAGTTTTACGAAATAATTTGGTTATTGAACTGATTTGACTTGATGTTTCTGTTGAGATTTCTTGATAAGTATGCATATGATTTTAAATGCTCGTCACTGCACTCAGACTTTATTTACTTTAGTTACTTACCGAGTTGGCGTACTCACCTTACTCCCTGCACCTTGTGTGCAGATCCAGTTGCCCGAGCATCAGAGTGAGAGCTTCCAGCACTCTCAGAGTCTTATCCGGAGATCGCAAGGTAGCTGCACGGCGTTCGCAGCCCTGCCTTCCTCCTTCCTATTCTAGTACTTTATATTTCAGACTTGTTTTGTATTGAGTAGATAGTATTGTGTGTATTTAGTGGCTCATGACTAGTGACACTAGATTCGGGCTGTGTTGATGTATTTCGTACTTATTTCGCGTATTTCTTCAATATTTTAAAAATAAAAGCTTTGAGACTTAATCTGTATAGAAAAGTGAATTTATAAAAGATCTCTGTATTGTTCGTGTTGTTTCTGGCGGGCCTAGTACTGTGATAGACGCCATCACGACCGGGGTATTTGGGGTCGTGACATCGGCAATAGCTGATTCAAGCATATTCAACTTTCGGCCCCAAATAAGAAGTTCAAACTCCGATAATGAAGAAATCAAAAGTTTTAAGAATCTAAATCGACAATGAGAACAGGAAATTCGAATTCTGAATACAATAGTGAATAACAAGGCAATAGGATTCCTACTTTGACACAGATGAACAGTTACAATATTATTTTTGTATTTTTTTTTAAAAAAATTTCCAGACTTTGATGATAATCAAAACAAAGACCCAAGGATTGATTCAACAATCCAAAACCCCCGCTCTGATACCAAGATGATACAGAACCGTATCGAAAATATGGATATAGAAAAACACGCGGAATTAAAAATAAGAGCTAGACCTACAATTGATTGGAAGAACAAGATCCAATTAGAATAAGAAACCTAATTACCTCTATGAACTCAATCAATTGTAACCCTAAGCTATGAACATAAAAGCTAGACCCACAATTGATTGGAAGAACAAGGACCAATTAGGATATGAAGCCTAATTACCTCTATGAACTCAATCAGACCTAAGCTATGAAACCCTCCAGAGATTGGCAACTCTTGAAAACCCGAATAAAGTAATTAAGCAATTAAGCATTCACTACTAATTTAACACTAATGAAAGCACTAAAGAAATTAAAGACATAAACATAAATGCATTAATTAAAAGATAAGGATAAAGGGTGAGACTTGCATGTCTTCAAGTTTATCATTCATCAAGTCTACCTAAAATAAAAGCCTTAACGGCTATTTATACTAGAGTGGGCATTTGGCTACAAATGACCCAAATATCCCTAAGCTAATTCTAAGGAGCTGTTACACCCCATATTTTCCTACGCGAAAGTGCGCCATAATTAAATTGATGAAAGCTCGGAAATGAGATGTTACACTCTGCATTTTCATATGTTAAAGTTTCGTCGTAAGTTAATCAACGTAAGTTCGAGAATGGGATTATTTTGAGATAATAAGCATTATGCTATTTCAAACAAGGGACAAGTAAATTCGTGAAGGTAAGAGGGAAGGAAAATCGAAGAAAATGAGTTTCGTCGAAGTTTGTCAATTTGGGATAAAATACGGCCCGAGCTTTAATACCCGGTATTCATGGACTAGTACCATACAAAGTACCACATGACTATAAAAATAAGGTGTACAAAGTGTGTTGAAAGTGAGTAGTATTTAAGTAATTTGAGATAATTTTTAATTATGCGGATAATTGGGTAATTAATAATTTTTAGTAGGAGATTAATTAAAATCTTTGGGGTAAAAATTATCGTGGCAGCTTTTTCCTTAATCACATTGTGACTCTTACATTTATTAAATAGGTGGCATGAATCCAAAATGAGTCTTGGATAAGGGATAGTCACGGTGGCAGTGTTTAAATCAAGGAAATATAATGAGTTATTTCCTTTCCATTCATTCACTTTTTGGAAGATAACATTACAATCTCTTAAGAAGGAAATCCAACCAAGCTTTAACGTTATTTTCTTATTTCTTAAGAGAATTTTCAGCCAAGCATAGAAACGTTACTATTCAAAATCACTTTCTAATCCAAGAAACATAAGCAACGTTAATTCATTTTTCAAATAGCAACGTTGTTGCTAAGTTCTTAAGGAAAGGTTTCGGCCAAGATTTTTTTTACGCGATTGCTTCGAGCTTTTGATACGGCTTGCTCCGTGTTTTGCCGCAATTAACGTGTGTTGAAAGATTGTTAAGAGAACCGGCTCAGGTATGTTAAGGCTATCCCTTATTACTTTTGGCATGATCCATACGATACAAACGAAACGAGCAAATGCACAACTTCCATAAATGACTCTATTCATAGAAATACTAGAGATGCTTATGTTCTTGATTCTCCGTGTGTCATATTACTCTATCATCTGTTCATGGGTCTAAAAAATACGTAAGTTGGTAAAGTTTATTTCATGATATTAATCAGAGGCATAACGGTCTTATGACGTATCGAGAGATTTTATTAACGTATTTCATATGCATTTCATGCATTTATACATGCACATTGACCCATGACCAGATGGCGTTATATACGCGTATATATATATATATATATATATATATATATATATATATATATGTATATGGGATATGGGAAATGTTAT